GTCTACATTTTTAATTATAAATATATTATGTTTTGTATATTACAGTATTTTATGAGATCTCTAATATTACTGAATAAATGCATAAAACATATAAGTTTTATACATATTGCAGTAACTGTATTTGCGACTTTCAATATTCTTATAGTCGTTCATACATATTTGTACACACTTTCTTTTCCTATAAAACAATTGTTTGATGAAATAATGAAAAGAAAATTGAAATATATAAGGAAAGTAATTTTCAAAATTTGATGGCATTAAAAGATTCTATTGATCTGATTAATGATAATACAAATATTTTATACTACGAATAGTGTAAATAATATGTAACTAATATCTTTAAAGATATACAGACATACATAAAACTTTATCAGTAGTTTTCATATGTTCGCTTACTTTCATAATTATGAATTATAATTTATTTACTATCTTTCATTTATCAATGCCAGCAAAAAAAATACGTTCTCAGTGAAATTTTAGAAGGCAATATCGATTTTGTTTTGCTTTACATTTTATGATGAAATAAATGAAGATGCATACTATACTAATAATATAAATTTTGATCTGAGTAGATTCCACAGGCATATAACATTTTGATACTGAATAATTATTGGGAGTAAATACACCCTGAAATATCAGTATTATTTTAAATGCATATACAATAATAAAATTACAAAATTGAATTAAATAATTTTTTAAATTTAAAACTTACAAGTAAAAGTGAAGGATTATCTTTATTTCTCCAACTAAATGATGGTATAGTAAATTCAAATATATCTTTTCTATGTATTCTTCTACAACCATGATGAGTATGACCATTAATAATCAGTCTTGGATTCAATATATCTAAAAGCTGTAAGTTAATCTTTTTATAGGAATTTATAAATTCAATTATAACAGTTCTTGTAAAGTGTTTTATGTACTTGTTCAGATGCTTCCTTTGACAAACATTCCCATCGTTCCCTAAATTTGATATCCTTTATTTCATCTGGAGCTTGGTCAAGTTCATTGCAAATTTCATCAGATTCGCGATACATTGGATAATGCTATAATTATAATTCACATGTTATCACTTTTAATTTGTGACATAAAATTATTTACTGACCTGTAAAATGATTGGTCTACTGTATCTTGAAATTACATTATCTTTGTTACAACTATTTTCTGTATTTTTTGCACATTTTAAATGTGCTGAAAAATATTTTATTTTTTAATTTTTAAACTTCAATTTTAATAAATATTCACTTTTCTAATAAGAAATACTTTTACCAGCAATTTTATTTAATGCAATTTCTGTAGGGCGACATAAGAAACATCCATCTCCTTCTAGTGCCATACTATTAATTAAAACAAAGTGATTTCCTCTAATACTAACTCTTCTCACACTTGGTGACTTTAAACCATTTACAAACCGTTGGTTCAAATATGGTGTGATTACTGAATAAATATTTTTTGAATCAGTTATATCATTATTTTAAAACAGTATTTAAAGTATTATTAAAATTTTAAATACTTTATAATACCATAATGAAATCCGATATCATGGTTTCCAGCAACAACATAAAGATGAGTGTTCTTAGGTACTGAAAATAATGAATAGAATCTTTGTATATATTTTTCAAATTCTGCAGAACTACTCCATTGTCCTTCATCAAATAGATCACCTATTATGTTGCAATTAAAATGTATTATTATTATTACTTTTCTATAAGTACCTTGTATCTTTAATATAATTTTGCTACATACCTAATATAAAAATTATATCTGGTTTATGAAGTGTAACCATAGTTTGAAATGCTCTATACATTTGCCATTCTCTACGTAAAAGAAAATATTGATCAATGAAGAAGTTAATGTTATACATATGTTAAGCATTTGTAGTTTCTTTATTATTATAAAACATAGCCAAACCTTTTTAATTTATCAAACCAATGTCCATTTTTAGAACCTAATAAATGAGTATCTGCTATAAACATTGCATGCACAGGTGTTTCTTCTGTCATTGATTCAGCAATTGTTATATCAACTTTATGTGTATCCAAAGTTGGCCATGTACACTATTATTTAAAAAAAAAATTTGAGAAGTTTTTTAATTTTATAATTGTGATTTTTGATATTACTTACTTGAATAAGCACAAGATAATATAACAAATATTCACAGAAAATAAATACACACATCAAGGCTATGACACCTACAGATAAATGTTTCCTGTATGAAAACGTTCTAGTATTCAGCATTTTGTATGCAAATATTTTAAAAGATAATGTACAAGTTACTTTAAATATAATCTTAAACAAAAATGTTTAGATAAATATTACACGCCACATAACTTTATCATTCCAGTTAAATACTGAAAATCCTAGTTATTATGTAAGTACACCGTCGCATATTCTTCAATATTTAGAATATTAAAAATACACATGTAACGTTTTATAAAAATATTTACACTTCAGTTTTGCTAGTGACATCTACCAATAAATAGAAAGTAAAGCACTGCTGTTAAATAATACGGAAACTGCATTTACTTATTACTTGATAAATTTTGAATTACAAAAAAATTACAGAAATTTAATACATAAAAATTATATCAATGACATTAGAAAACAAAGTTTATATATACATATATTGATTTGTTTAGTAATTGCATTTATTAATGTTAAAAAAAGCGTTGTGCCGGTACAAAAGTACATACATATGTGCACAACATTATTATGCCGGCACAAATCACATACAAAGAAGTAAAAACAAATGTCAACAAATACAAAGCATTTCAATATTAATCCTCCATTTTGAAAAAATGATTTGAAGAATTTTTTTAAATATGTCAAATACACTAGGTTGAGGTCGAAGTCCTCGAAAAGTATGGTGAATTATATAGATTAGGTTACTATCCACGTTTGCACGCATGCGTAGTCACCGGTACTTCCATTTATATGTACAGTGATTTCATATGCGAAATTTTAATAGCTCTTCAAACGTGTTTATGTGATGTTATAAAACATGTCACAGTATAGATTATTGGGTGTTATTGCGAGTTTTTCGCACATAAATAAAAATATTATAGTACGACCAGGTAATTATAAACAAGAAAAAAAAAATCAAATCATATTGCTATATATATTTGTATGTGTGAACCTTTGCTCTCAAGTAATTAACGGATAAAGTTATCACAATTTATATCTCATAAAAGTCAAACTATATATTATGCAATTATAATATCAATGTCTCGATGTATGAAAAAATATTAAAAAAATACAAAATTTTTCGAAATATGATTTTAAGTTTTAAATTAAAATTTTGAATGCTGGAAAGTATATAAAACTTACATAGACGTTTGTAAAGTACTAAACATTACAGTGTAGATTTTTATTTTTTTATGTTTTCATTTATACCTCATTTTGCCTTATATACTTTACTTTCAGCAATCTATAAATCATTAAGAACATTTGCTACCTCATCAAACACAAAACATTTAAAATACAAAGTTGTGGACAATGTAGCAGTAATTACTATAGACTCCCCAGGAGTCAAGGTAGATAATTAACATAGAAGATAACTATATTAGTTCGAGTTATAATTGGGATTTTAGAACAAGACATTAATAAAAATGATAAAAATTTTATATAATTTAGGTTAATACTTTGGACCAAGAGATAATGAATGAAATTGTAAGTGTCCTAAAAAATGCTGAACAAAATACTGCTGTAAATTCTGTAGTTCTTATAAGTGGAAAACCAAGTTGTTTCATTGCTGGAGCTGATATTACTATGATACAGCAGTTTAAAACTGTAGAAGATGGCTATAAAGTCTCTTCTGCAGCTCAAGAAATTTTAAACAGCATAGAGAAAAGTCAAAAGCCAGTTGTAGCTGCAATTCAAGGCAGTTGTGTAGGAGGAGGTCTTGAGGTAAACAGTGTGACAAATTGATGTATACTGTTGTAATATTTTTACAAGAGTCAAAATATTAGTTATTCATACTCTTTTTTAATTAATCTAGGTAGCAATGGCTTGTCATTACCGACTTGCTGTGAATGATCAGAAAACCAGTTTAGGTTTGCCAGAAGTAATGTTAGGTCTTTTACCTGGAGCAGGTGGTACACAAAGGTTACCTCAATTAACATCAATTCTTAATGCTTTAGATATGACTCTGACTGGTAGAAATGTTAAAGCAGATAAAGCTAAAAAAATTGGCCTTGTGGATATTGTAGTAAACCGTCTTGGTCCTGGTATTGGAACACCAGAAGAAAAGTAAGATATGTTTTATTTAATTTACTAAATACTTAAAATGTGAATATTTTACATATTCTAAATACTTACAGCACTATGAGATATTTAGAAGAAACTGCTATTAGAGCTGCAAAAGATATTGCAAGTGGAGCCTTAAAAATTGACAGAGGTCCTAAAACCCTGTTTGATAAACTTATGAATTATATTTTGTCCTTTGAATTCATAAAGGATCAAATATTTAGTAGGGCAAAAAATAAAGTAATGAAGAAATCTGGGGGTTTGTATCCTGCTCCACTTAAAATCTTAGATGTAATACGTACTGGCATAGGTAAAGGATCTAAAGTTGGTTATGAAGCAGAGGCTAAGGCCTTTGGTGAATTAGCAATTACACCTCAATGTAGAGGACTTACAAGTTTATTTTTTGGACAAACAGCTTGTAAAAAGAATCGTTTTGGTGCACCTAAAACTCCTGCTAAGTAAATAGATTTTTATATATTATATTAAAATAATTAATTTTTTAAAAAACATTGATTTTATACCTATATTTTAGGAAAATTGCTATTGTTGGTGCTGGTCTTATGGGAGCAGGTATTGTTCAAGTAAGTATAGATAAAGGTTTTTCTGTGGTCATGAAAGACACAAATGAAAAGGGTTTATACCGTGGTTTAAATCAAATACAAAAGGGAATGGACATTGCTGTTAAAAAGAAGAAATATTCCAGGTTAGTTTTAAACATTTGTAATTTCTTCACTAAGAAATGTGTAGTTGCATGTACAGCTGCGGACAAAAGTTTCTGAATGATAGCGTTTTTCGTATTTGGTTCAATTTTATATATTTCTTTTGGAGTTGTGAAAAAATAGTAATCACGCACAACAACAGAGAATTTAATGATCTACAAGAGTATGCATTAAAGCATATTTCTAAAAAATATATTTAACTTATACATATTTGAGCAAAATATAGGATAAGACAAACATTTTATTGGATAATGGGTTTAATAAATAGCGTTCACTGTAAATTTTCTTAAATGTGTTTTATTTGTATGGCGCGGAAGGACGTCTTTACTCTTCGAATTTCGTAGCGAAGTGTAAGGAAACAAAAACGTAAGGGCACAACTGAAATTCTGTTGCACATTTAAGAAAAAGAGACCAAGAATACATCAGTCTATTACGTTTCTTTCACTAGCAGTGTTTCTCATTTATAAACACAATACATTTTTGCTTACTGGCTGACGCATTATTATTAGTAATAATCCAACACATTTTCGAACGATTTAAATAAAAAGCATTAACAGTCAATAACAGCCTGGCATCTTCTTGACATGCTGTTAAATAATTTTCTCAGATATGATTCCGATCAACAATCCCAATTTCAATATACAGTAGTGCACACATAAGCGTCAGCATTTTTGCACACTTAAGCGTCCGTCGCTATCCCTACCAATTCTTGCAAATGGGACTTTGGAGTGGAGTTCGAGCGTGTCGAGTGAAACAAAGTAATTCGATATCGACTCCTGAATGTGAGCAACTGACACTTGATATGTCGGTATCCCACTCAGCCACATCTCCTCTCTTTTCTTTAGTTAAATTTGCAGAAGTCATCTCCCCACTTAAGCGTCCGCATTCGGTCCCGACTGCGAACGCTTATGTGTGCACTACTGTATGTATTTCTGCAAATAAATCGTCTCACAAGGGGAAGGCACAGGTGTGGAAATCGCTTTTGGAATGGCCCTATGTGGAAGTTGTAGTACACCAATGGACCTTCGTTTGTTAGAAATTTTAATTTAAACATTTGTATGAACCTAGTTCCTAGTATGAATCTAGAACCTAGTACTTTGTATGTATCTAAGAAGGTGCCGTGGTTTCGGCGGTAGTGTTTTTGCTTACCACACGTTTAGCTAGGGTTCGAATCCAGCAGGAGTAAAAAGTTTTTTTTTCTTCTCTTTCTTTTTCTTAAATTATCTTTACGATAGACTTTCTATGGGGTTACATTCTGGTGATTGTGCAGGCCAATCCAAAACATTAATCTTTTTATATTTCAGCCATGCTTTAACTGTTTTAGCCGTATATTTGGGATCGTTGTCAAGCAACATTGTATTGTAGGAACCGACGAAAATGTTTCTCCCTTGTCACTTGTCGGTTTCCTATTTGGGTATGGAGGCCCCGATACTACAGTATTTTCTAAGATGTTTCAGTACTGTAATTGCTCCATTTTACCATTAATACGATAAAGAAGACCAATGCCGTACCACGAGAAACAACCCCAAACCATTACATTTCCGCCGCCAAATTTAACGGTACTGTCGCGTCGCGTTCTTTTGCGATGTTCAAAAGGAAGCTCGCGGTCGCGACTGTTACCCGCCAAATTAATCTTGGGTAACTAGTTCAAATTTGTTTTGCTGATACGTAGCAAAACGTAGAGTGCGTCACGAAACGATTGACGACTTTGTTTCAAAGACTCGAATTGTACTTCGACTCGAATTGTACTTGTGTCTCCTCGAATGGCTGGAGAGAGTGTCTTGTTCACACGAGAGAATATTTGCGAATGTGTTGTGTCTCCTCGAACGGTTGGAGATCTAGTGGTGTTCG